GAGATGGGGGCCCGAACGTGCATGTAGATTATGTCCCCAAAGTTTCAGCCCCGTAGCTTTTGCCGGTCTCGAGGGGGATGGGGGCTCATACGTGCATGTAGATTATACCCCCCAAGTTTCAGCCCCGTAGCTTTTGCCGGTCTCGAGATGAAAAAGCAGAGGCCCAGCGCGCACACACACACACACGCACACACACACAAACACAAACACACATACAGACACACACACACAGACAACCTCTCGTCAATATGCGTTTTTGCAAAACGCATAAAAATCGAGACGCGCTTTTCTGTATGCACTTCCCTTTATTTGCACTCATCAGCTGAGCAGCCCGTGACGGCATATCGTAAGGATGCAGAGTAACTTTGTTTTTTTCTCGTTTATCAATTTTTTTCATTTCAGGTACACAATTTTAGTACTTTTGGAAACTTCAAGAGCGAAAAACCCGATGACACAATTATCAGACAGCGTAAAATTATAGAGAAACTGGAAAAAGAACTGAAGGTCCAGTTTTGATATCCTATTTTTGACTCTTTACGCTTTTTTGACTCGCACCGCATTTCTTGACTTGTTATAGTCTTTCAAATTTTCTGGCTCGCGGCATATTTTTTGACTGGTTACGTCTGAGCTAATTTGTTTATCTTCACGCCTCTCCTTCCTCTTTTCCGGTGTGTTCCACGTACTCGTCCTGTGCAAATTCCCCCTCCTCCTATCATTTTAAGATATGATCAATTACTTCAGCAAAGTTATGCTCTTTGTATTTTTGTAATAAAAGGATGCTTGCTACACGCGATGGGTTTTTGATAAGTAAAGCTAGCGTCCTTCCAATATTTGTTTTCCGCCTAGATCATTAGCTCCACGTCTATAGTCCTGGCAGTGTTTCTGACTTCCTTTCGCTGTTAGTTTAAATTTAAAATTGATTTTATTTTTTTTTGCCGATCAAAGACACGAATTTTGAGAGTATTCTTTCAGGGCTGTGCACTGCAAGATCCCCACAGCCTTCCGGTTCGTGTGGCTGACGACCGAGCGCTTGCGTTTGAAAGGAGAGACGGTTTCAGCTATCACGTTTGTTTTTCCATATCTTTGATTAAGAGATTTTGACTGTTTCAAAATTTTTTATAAAACTTTTGCCTGGTCTGTTTCTTCCATCTATGCAGCTGGCAACTTTTTCATTTGCTTCGACAATGCTACATCACCTTGTGGTCAGCTTGCTAGCGGTCCTAACGTTTGTTTTGATTCCTGAAAGGATTACCTACCCTAAGGATAGCATTTGTCATGGCTTTTGCTGTTTTGGGATATCCTTCGTAAGAATTACCACCTCACTCCGGATTTTACCGTGGAGCTATGAATTTGTTCTACTAACGAAAATTAATTCGATTTTTTAAAATTTTTTGGGGGATTTTCCGTTTTTTTACTCTCTTAGAAAAATGAAGCTTGTGTTTTTGGCACCAACTATCACCTTTATATTAGTATTTCCGGTGCATTTATAAAAAGAATTCCGATTTCTAAAGCCCTTCTCCCCCTTTCCCATGAGTTTTATCTTCCTTGTATGGGAGGGATTGATGTAAGTGTGCTTGGCAAATGGAAGGTCTGTATGCTTCGAGGTTCCACATTGTCACAGCGTCTCAGCCAGGTGTTGAAAGCCGTTCCTGTGCTACGGATTGAGGCATCTTTTCACTTTTTGAAGTTTTTTGGTGGGTTTATTTTGTTTCTGTCGGACTTCAAAGATCTGTTCTCTATGAATGACAGTAAGATTCGATGGGGAGCAAATTTATTATTCCAACTTTCAGAAAACTTTTTTAGTTCGTGCTTGTTGATTGGAAGAAAGATGACCAGGGGATGGCGCAACAGCATCTTCACTTGGCTTTCAAGCAGAGTAACGCGAGTATCTACGTTTACGATCATGGCCCATCCTCCGGCAAACATTTTGCTGTCGGCGATCGTATTGTCGATATCGACGGAAAATTATTCAGTAAAGCGGTGGATGTGCGCGACCAAATCCTGTGGTCTCGCCACAACAAAGTTAGCAGCTGCACATTTTTTCGAGGCTGTTTTCAGGCATGCAATAGTTCAAAAGACCAAGGTATAAAACCAAAATCCGCTGTATTTCACTTTCCTTGATAAGTGAAGAGCAATAGTTCAACCCCTCCTCCCCTTCCAGAAGCCCA